ACGTGGCTCCAAAGCCATGGGTTCCTCATCCCTGGTAACATAAAAATTGACCCAATGAGGAATCATAAAGCAAGTTTCAGAACATAGAGCAGTGATTCTCAACCTGTGTGTCATGGTCATGAGAGGATCTTTGGTGTGCTGAGAAAATTTTTAAAAATCATTAAATTATTTTTTAAAAGTTCACAGCACAGTAAGTATATTCCTTTTTTATTTTTATTTTTTTGAGCAACATAATTTGTGTGTACTGTGGAAGTTTAATTATAGGTTCAAGTGTGCTGTGAGATAAAAAGGTTGAAAAACCCTGACATAGAGTATTGACATAAGATAGAGTATATACTTTGTGCACACATTGATTTGAGCTAGAAAAATCTTCAGATATGAGGAAATTCAGAATAGAAAAATACACATTTTTGAATAACTTGAGTTAAAATATGACTTGAAATATTTAGAGATAAATACAAATTAAAATGCTGTGTTCCATGATTAAAGACATTGTTAATAATGAAAACTGTATTTTAAGTATACATATCAGAAAGTAAAAAGGAAGAAAATCAATATATGTCTGTCACAAAATATTAGGGAGAAAACATCATGTTTGTATCAGCTATGAAAGAAGAGAACTATTAAATATCAGAAGGTAATATAGTGAAAAATACCATGTATTATACTTTGTATAATAGAGAGGATCTACATCAGCACAATCGCTCATTTGAATAAAGTGATAAAGTGGTCTATACTGATGCAACTAATTAAGTAAAAAAAGAGAGGAATTAAGAATAATTAATGTCAGGATTGAAAAGTTAAGTCTGCCAATCCTAAAGACATTGAAAAGATATTGAGAGGATGTTAGAGATCACTTTTTAAAAACGTTAAAATTTGAATACAATAAATTTTTAGAAAAATGTAATTTAAGGGTGATAAATGAAAGAAAACATACATAATTATATAATTATTAAAATAATGTAATGAATAATAAAAACCATTATAATTGACACTCTCAGTAAATACATATAGAAGTATCCTTTCTCATTATGGTAAAAAAAAAATTCTACTGATCCCTACAACAAATATCACAATTATTCCTCTGGAGATCAAACAGGGTCACTCAGTACCACCACTTATATTCAGTATTGTCCTGATCATCTAGATGGGTAAAATAATACCAGATATAGGTGCACTTGCGTGTACACACATACGTGCTTACCTACATACATACACAAACATAGGTATAGATATAAACAGAAATTTTTAAGTTCAAATATTTGAATGGAATATATAACGGTCATTATCGCATATAACATGAATATAGATAATAAATTTAAAAGAAAATACAGTTGAGTTATTTTAATGGGGTCATTATGAAAGTTTTGAGATGCATAAAAATCAAGAAATGTAAAATCGCCTTAGATGGAATCAAATGAAGTCTTCCCAGTAAGAACCATAAACTGAGCAAGTTGAAACTTGCACAGGTGAATCAGAAAGGACAGTGTCAACTGTATTTCTTGAAAATGAAATAATGGACCATAACACAGTCTGTCTCAAGACTTTCCTATGACTTATGTATATGGTTTTTACAAGATTACTTGGTACGCAGTCAAGGATTGAGAAACAAATTTTTATAATACATAACCAACAAAATACTCAAACTAGAAAACATAAAGAACTTCTACAAATTAGTAAGAAAAGAAAACTCACAGCCCACATCACAAAAGTCCCAAGGCTGCAGATGCCTGCATGGATATAGAAAGAAGGGAACACTTTTGCACTGCTGGTGGGTTGCAAACAAATACAACTTCTATGGAAGGAAATATGGAACATTCTCAAAGAACTAAAAATAGACCTTCCATTTGGTCCTGCAATCCCATTACTAGGTATCTACTGAAAAGAAAAGAAAGAAAAAAAAAGAAAAACTCATTTTACCACAAGGACATTTGAATAGAATGTTTATTGCACTCAATTCAAAATCGCCAAGATGTGGAAGCAACCCAGGTGCTCACCCAGGAATGGATTAACTAGCTATGAAATATGTATACCATGGAATACTATTCAGCCACATAAAAGGATGGAGATTTTACATCTTTTGTATTTGCCTGGATGGAGTTGAAACACATTCTTCTTAGTGAAGAATTACAAGAATGGAAAAGCAAGTATTACATATACTCAATACTAATTATGAAACCAATGCATAAACAACTAATGACTAAAAGAAAGAAGAGCACGGGTACATTCAAGTGAGGGAGAGGGAGGAGGAGAACAAGGGAAGGAAGAAGGTGGATAGGAAGGTTTTTACCTAATGTATGTGATGTAAGAGTATACAGCATACCCCCTGCACAGAGGGCTCAATTACAACTTGAACTTTACCTTAGAAAGGAAAGCAATGTAACCCAGACATTTGTACCTTCGTGTTAACCTAAGATTTTAAAAAATATTGAAAAGAACCTTGAATATATAAATGTGACTGATAATACATGGAAATTCACTAAAACATATTTTTAATCAAAGACATGTGAATTAAAAGTACAATAATATTTCACTACACAGTGAGGTGATGGTTAAATTAAGCAAAATATGAATAATTTCTGATAAGATTGTACAATGATGGCAATGCTCACACACTGTTTGAATTATTCACCAAAGTAGAATGTAGGCACATTTTCTGACTTAGTAATTATACTCCTTGTATTATATTTAATATTTAATACATACATAAAAGTACACAATATGTACTTATAATACATATATAAAAGTATTCTTATTGTAGAATGATTTATAATAACTCATAAGTGGAAATAATCTGCATATCTGCAAATAATGGATTTAATATATAAATTGTGGAATTTTCGTCTAATGCAGTACTTAACACAGTTACAAGCACCAAGATGAATGAAGTTAAGATGTTAAGGGAAAGAAAGTAGGCACGGAAGAATATATAGAATACGGTTACAGTGACATAAAGTTTGAAACTAAAGTAACATAAAACTACAGACTGACAAAATCTGGAAACATCAACATATGTATAATTAATAGTTTATTGAGGTTACAGTACACAGTATATTCAATACCATTACATGATGCATTCAAAGGATTGTCCCTCTCTGGCTCCACGTAATCAGTATGCCATACCAAATTGTGATAAACATGTGAAATTAATGCAGCTACAAGTCCCTGAAAATGCATCTGCATATTTTCATACATTCTGCGACAGAACAAGCCATAGGATTCTCTGGTTTAACCACGTGCAAGTTCTTGCTCTGGGTAGCCATTAGGTGATGTTTCACTTTGTGGTGATTTTTGCACTTACATGCATTTGTACTTTGGCAAGATTCTTTTGCAGTTTATATAAATAACTTAAAAACATAATAATAAAATACACCAGATATTCTCTATGGCCATCACAAGCAGAACTGAGATCCAGGCGCAGAGGCCTCCAGGGTGTAGATCTACTTTATGCCTTTGAATCTGCGCTAGGGAATTAAAGAAGTTGCTTCACAGTATAGCAAGATCTCTATCACTTGCTCTTCACATGGGAAACAGGTTTTTTTTAAAATTGTTATTTCTTTAATGATGCATGTTTTTCAGAAGTTAACTATGGATTTTCTCAAATGATTCTAGGCTCTAGTTAATGTTCTAGGCTCTAGTTAAGGAGGTATTTCTTTTTTTTAACATGTTAGAAACAGGATCTTACTTTGCTGCCCAGGCTGCAATACAATGGCATCAGTATAGCTCACTGTGCCCTTGATCTCCTGGGCTCTAGCAATACTCCTACCACAGCCTCCTGAATAGCTGGGACTACTAACATTCCCTATCATCCCCAGCTAATTTTTCTTATATTTTCATATAGACTCAATCTTGCTATATTGCCTAGACTGATCTGAAACTCCTGGCCATCAGCCATCCTCCTGCTCAGCCTCCCAAAGTGCTGGGATTATAGGCATGAGCCACCACCATCAGATTAGAGGAGTTTCCGTGGCTTAACTTCGGGTGATTTGTTACAATTTAGTAGGGGTCCAATGTTATGGAGATGAATCTAGCCAGATAGAAATAGCCAAATTTAAATTTCCCAACAATAAGATGCGGACACATACTCATATACACACATAAACCCACACACAACAGTGTTAATTCCCTTTCACATTTATTGTGTTCTCCGTTCTCTTTGAAAGAAAGATACATGTTTTAATACTCATACCATATGTAATTTCAAACTTGATCCCCGAGGCAAAAGGAAAGGGCTGCTATCAAATGTCTTAAAAATAATCTCCTTTATTTTATAATAATAATGGTTAGAGGTTCAATATTTCTACTCAAACACAGAGGCAGGCAGGCGTATTTGCTGAAGTCCTCACAATGTTTGCCGTCGCCTTTACAGAAGACAACATTTATAAAACCTTTACATCCCAGGCAGGTGTGGGGTCTTCCCCTGAGAATTTGTACTGTTCAGATACTGCTTTCCATTTGAACTTCAAATACCTTTAAAAAATAGGTGCTGCATTTTCATATCATTTAAAAATGAGAAGCCTTTTATTTTTGTCATGATAATATGGATTTACTTTTCAAAATGGATCAAAGTCAAAACTAATTACTGTCTGATAGTCACAAAGATCTGAAAATAGGACAAGTTTTTTTTAAATGGGCCTGCTTTTCCCAAAAGAAAATTAAATATATATCTTAAATATTAAGTAATTTTGAATACATTTAATAAGATTCTTCTTTGAGAACTTTGAGGATTAACTGAATTATTATAGTCATTTTGAGTAACTGGAAAACTGTTTCCGAGAGCTAGACTATTTCCTTTGGTTGTTTGTTTTTATGACACAATATGAGGTTTAATAAATACTTTAATTAAAAAAAAAGTATGTTATCTAGAAACATTAATTCCTCAAGTATTTTTTCAATATGCATTATGTTTAGAGGCAATAATACTGTAGAATTATAACTTTTTATTGTCCATTTTTTTAACCAGAAAACTAAAACCTCTGTTTTCTGTTTTGCTTGGACAGGCTTGGACTCCTGGATCATCCGGTGACTTCAAAAACCTGGTGAGATCCCTTTTTCTGTGGGACTTTCAGCTTTCTGATATTTTTATTACCCTTGCTACTAATCTTGGGAAGAGGTTTTTCTTCCTATATCAAGCTTAATTTTTATTTTAAAAAAATTCCCCCTTCATTTCCATTCTCTGAGTTAGAATCTCATAAAGCCAGTTGAAAAGGGTCAATTATATCTTAACCTGTGTCTCCTGATCTGGTAAGTAAGGTTTTTTTGAGATTCAATGTCAGGAATCTGGAGCACATTCTGAACGACAGTATCATTTTTTAAGAAAACAAAACATCGTCCTGAAAAGAGTCTTCAATAGGAAAGAAGATTATGCAGGTAAAAGGCAGAAAGCACCAATCTGAAAAATTTCTTTTAAAATGGATCAAATACAAAAGCAAGTTGAAAACCACAGAGGAGCTGATGAGGAGGTTATTATAGTTATTCCGACATTGAGCACTGACACTAGAGTTCATGTATTACACAGCTAGAAACCCAGTGAAGGCACTGTTCCTCTCCACATGGAAACTCTTAACGTTCTCATAGTGTTTGCCTGCCACGTATCTTATAGGTCTGGTAAAGATTGCTTAATAAAAAAAAAAAAAATGGTTAAGATAGAAGATTTTCTGTGAAGTGTATTTTTTCCAATTGGTGCCTTTGTGATCATGTTTGACCACACCCAGTTTTTTGTTTTTTTTTCCTGTCCAGATATCATTGACATATTGCTCACATTCAAATTCATGCATTGGGGGGAGCCTACCATGTTCTGAATCTAAGCAAAATTATAAAATATATTTTATCTATTATTTTCTCTTATTGATTATCCTAAAGAGACATCTACTTTAGAGTTCTGTATAGTCTGGGATCCCTACTTTTATGGCTGGGTGACTGTTTCTGTATACAGAACCAAGAGTAGTAATATGAACTCTGAGTGAGTGGGTAGCAGGTAAACCCTCTCACACCCATTTTCCAGTGTTGACTGCGTACTGCTGGGTTAGGGTGGGAGAGTGATGTGAGGTCAGTCTCTCCTTGTGCTGTCCATTATCTTTCCCTCGCAAATGCTTCTCAGTGTTTCTCAACTAATATGAGTATCTTATGCCCATCTGACTCCCATGCTGCTTCTGTCTTTCCACTCCATACCTCCCATGGAACAGTAACACTCAGAATTACAGCACACAAAAGATCTCATAACTACTGACAGCCATCGGCCCTGCCCTGTTCCTTCAGTGTTTGTGTTGAGTCTCTCTTTTCCACATCAGTGCAAACATATATCTTGTTGGGGTCTGAAACCTCCTGAAATAATCCATTTAGCATGCTTTACCTCTACTTTATTTCCTGGGTTTGAGTCCTGTGAGCAAGTGAAGACTAAGTCACACTAAAATACTGTTAGCACTTTACCCAGCTTGTGGTGACGGCGAGCGGCTTTCTCTTGTGCTGAATAGTTCAGCCCTTCATCACACAGACTTCTGCTGGGTATGAGCACAATTTTGCATTACCTTCGGATGGGTTACATAGGAATTTCTCCCAAACAGAGACATGTCAATTCACAGTGATGAATTTAGTGCTCCATGTTTATCTGTAAATAGGAACAACAGAAACTTGAAGTTACATTTTCCTTAATGACTTTTTAAAGTCCTGATCAAATTCCTAGCCACCTTTCATCCTTACGATGAGGGTCAGTCTCTCTTTTCTCTCAGCTCTTTCTGCAAATGAAAGCTTTGCTTAAGCCTTCATTGAGAGAACTGGAAATAATAGTAGCATATAATAGACATTTTATAGAAATTTATAAAGTAGAGGATCAGAGCCTGTGGCTCAAGTGGCTAAGGCACCAGCCACATACACCTAAGGTGGCGGGTTCGAATCCAGTCCAGGCCTGCCAAACAACAACAATGATGGCTGCCACCAAAAAATAGCCAGGAGTTGTGGTGGGTGCCTGTGGTCCTAGCTACTTGGGAGGCTGAGGCAGGAGACTCGCTTGAGCCCAGGAGTTGGAGGTTGCTATAAGCTGTGATGCCACAGCACTCTACCAAGGGGGACAGCTTGAGGCTCTGTCAAAAAAAAAAATTTATAAAGTAGAAATATAATAGAAGTTTGTATATGACATTTTGTATCCCCAATTTCATCATAACGAATCTTAGCATTCCTGTGTATTTTTCTATCCTGAACTTTTTTTAGCTGTGCAAGTTGGGTCTGGATCCTGTGACTGTCCTTTCCCTTAAATTTCACTTTCTTCATTAAATTGTCAGTGTGCTCTTCCTGTTCCAGATTTGCACAATGATACTCTGAGTCATCTTCTACTTTATTACATTTCTAATTCTCTATTTTATGAAAATGACAGAATATCAATTCTAAGGTAATGCCTGTGGCTCAAAGGAGTAGGGCGCTGGCCCATATACTGGAGGTGGCGGGTTCAAACATGACCCTGGC